CAGCAGCCATAACAATAAGATGCAACAAGATCATGCATCTTCATGATGGCGAGAATTTTGAGATTGATGCAGAGGATGATGAGCATGAAAACGATAATGCTGGTGGTGTCGCCACCTTCAACCCTACAGTCGAACCCACCCCTCCCCCCCTCCCCCACGCCAAAACCGACACCACCACCACCAGGACGAGCTTCAGATCCTCTCCTCGAAGCTTCAGCCGATCATAGGCGCCGAGGGAACCGTGAGCATTCAGTTAAGGAGCAGCACTTCAAGTTATGGGGGGCTGCTTGTTTCCTCTAGTGTTTGGGGCATCCTGATGAACATTTGGGCCATGCTGCGCTCAGGAGTTAGCTCCATCTAGGGGATTTAGATTTAAAAGGTCCGGCAACTAGGATGCCCCCACGCGCGAGGTCATCCCAGAGATCTTGACCTGCATGTGCAGAGCCCAGAAGACCTCACTGCGCAGATTGCCACCCTGCCTGGCACTCAGGGACGGTTTATTAGGGTCCAGGGTCAGGTGGGGCTCGTTGCAGGGTTCTTAGCTCACCATGATTAAATTCTAGACAGCTGCAACCCAGGGTCCAGAATTCGAAGAATTGGATCAGGATTCTGCTGCCTAAACCCTAGGCACTGAACACCAAACCCTTCTGTTTGAGTGGGCAAGGAAGCATGGGCGTTTGCAAACGCACCAAACCTTTAATGTAGTCACCATCCATAAGGGTTCCTTAGTGTACGTAGTTATAGCATAGTTTTTGTTCTATTGCAGTTTCATTCTAGCCAATTCTAGGTACATGTGCGGAAGGCACCCAAGGGCTCCCGTGGCGTGATCCTACCAACTTCCGCGCATCCCCCCCCGCAGTTGGCAGAGCCAGATACGGAGTTTCGGGCTGTGGAGTTTAGGCTTTGGGTTGGGAGTTCAGGGGTTCAGAGGCCTGGAGGTAGAGAGGTTTCACAACATCCCAAACACAAATCCGTTTAACACAGGTCTGGGACGGCCTATGCGCATTTCAAAAACGCATGAGTGGACATGCGCAGTTCCCGGATTAAAAGCCGAGATCTTATGAGCCAAATCCTGATGTTGAATGAAAACCATACACGCCAACACCCTGAAGCTCAAGAAGACCTGACCCCACAACCCGCGGCACTTTATGCTTGGATCTTCTGAGCGACAGTCATACACGATGCAGACCCCTTGTTTGATAAACATGCTTTCTTTCAGAGCCGGATCCTTGTTACAGGCCCCCTTTAAGGATAAGCATCCTTTGTTTGAGAGCCTCCATAGTAGGATCCTTATTACGAGCACTTTTTAAAGTAGGGGTGCTTATTGATAAGGGGTCTGTGGACCCTTCCCCCTGAACACTAAACCCTAGACCGCTCCGCCCTTTGTGTCTTGGTTGGGGAAGGGTCCATGGGCTCAGTCAAGGGACCCCCAGGGGCAGGTATGCAAGGTTTGCAGAATGCCCCAAACCCTAAGCGGTAATTCCCGGAATAAAAAATTCACGTCCTTCAGCCTCAGGGCTCAGGGTTCGGGTAGAAGCCAAACCCCGACCCAACGAACCTCGAGAAGCAGCCCCTAAGCCTAAGCCCAAAACCTTAACCCCCTAGCCTATCTTTGGGCCCCTTTTCGGCTTGTGCCCAGGTCGGGAGCATGAGGTCCGAGCTGAGCGGGTCAACTCTGACCGGCCCAAAATTGTTTTGCTCTAAAGAAGTGCGAGACTGCACAAAAATATACCCTGATGGCCGGACGCAGACAGATATGGTACTTCAGCTATGTATGGCTCTAAGCACGGTTGCCTTCCACTGGCGGAAGCATCAGAAGTTAGCATGGCAGTCCTTTCCTTTTGGTAATATCTGCTTATGACGCAGAGCGGCCGAAGCAAACGAACCAGTTTGCCAAACACAGGCTTTGGTAAGCGAAGCCTAAGCGAAGCCCCAGGCCCTGGGCACATGAAGGATAGTAGATGTGGCGCGTCTTGAGCATCACATTTTGTGCTGCCGACTTTGCATTTTGCCGGTCGGCTGGCGCCGGTGGCGTCCTGTGCTATCAAGAAGTTGATAGTCTGTGCTGCCTTATACAGATTTTTGTTTGACCTCTGAGTCCCTGAGGTGAACTCCCCTGTTCAACTACTCGTAGGGATCGGCTGCCACATGCTTCCAAAGGCCTTGGCTTCTTGGGCATAGGTCCCAGAGGATGTCCCGGTAATCCGGCAAGCTGTGGGGGAGGCCTTTGGGATTCTAGGTACTTGGAGTCCTTGCTGACAACAGCTGCTTGCATTTGCATGTAATTCCGGGCTCCACACAACAACAGTATATATGAGCATAGTCGCGCACCTCAAGGTGCGATGTGTCGGTGGGCAAGAACCACCTTCTACGCCGCAGCCAAGCGTAAGAGGCTGCTGTTGATCTCAGTTCTGCGATCAGTTCTATACGTCCATGGGTGAAGGGAGCGACCTTCAGACTGGAGCAGTGAGCTCCATCACCAGCTGTCGGTTACCATGAGGAGGTGTATTAGACTTTGTTCGGTCCTTAGGACATGATTGCCGGATCAGGTATGTTGGCCATTCCGCCCGCTCGCAGTGCAGTCGGGGCAGATTCATCCCTTCCTCCAATGCCAGCAACGATATAGTACATAGTATAGAGTGTATACTATATACTATATTCTATATACGATTCTGATATGTAATATATAACATATTATATAATATGCGATAATATTACATAGGGATCCCTTTGTTTCCTGCATTCCTAGACCGACTCAGCGCAGTCAGCCTGAAGACCCTGGAAGAAGAATCGGAAGTAGTGGTGCAAGAAGATGATACGGAGGATGTGTTAGGTGAGGCGAATGAGGATCGTTTGCACTGCATTCCGCTGTTTTGGTGGGTCGGGGCGTTTCCGAAAGTCTGAAAGTCGACGGCGGTCAGAGGGTCGAAGTGCTAGATTTGCATTTGGTTGGGGAAGGTTGTTGGCCTTTTCAAACTTTTTGAGATGCATAGTCTGCAGTACCCCGCTGTTCCCTTGTTCGTATGAACGCATCCCAGACAGAGCGGTCTTGATGTTTCGAACAGACAGCATGCTCTTCAACTTTGGCACGTTAGGCCCCGCGATCTGCCTGAACAATCGCCACCCGAAACGAAGAACAGACGGAGTTTTGTCAAGTAGAAGAGCTTTCAGAACTCCTCTTGGGCATGGAGACTGGGATGCAGTCTGCCCCGCATCTCCCTCTGGGGTCAGCATCAGCAGCCCCTTTCGGTTCTTCCCTGGTACGACAGCTCTCGGAAAGTGCGAAGACAATGCGGGTTTCTGGGGTGGGTGACTTTGGCCCATGGCCCCTAGCCTACAGGAGCTGGAGTAACTCTCAATGCACTTCCACCCATAGGGAATCTTGTAGAATTACAGTAATTCGAAGGCATTCCAGGAGCTTTTTTTTTGAGTGTAATTCTGCAAACGTGAGGGTTTAGGGCGTAGGGCTTAAATCCTGGATATTCGCTGCCTTGCAATACCGAGTGCGAGAGTGGAAATTCCAGAGTACCGAGAGCCTCAGCCTGCACAACATTAGAGTTTAAGGTTCAGGGTTGCGGGTTTGGGACTTAGGGTTTTGGCACCCTGACTCCTTTGCTTCGCAGGATGCCTAGACCCCCGGTGTCTCTGCACCCAAGACCCGCGAACACACACACACACAGAGACAGACAGACAGACAGACAGACAGACAGACAGACAGAAAGACAGAGAGAGCGAGAGAGAGAGAGACAGAGACAGAGACAGAGACAGACGGCAAACGACAAAACCGACAGCCGCTGCAGGGCACCTGAACCCGAGAAGGTTTCAGCCCACCAGCTGACTTCCCAAACCCAAAACAAGAACCCTATAGGCTACTACTGGCATGAGCCTAACAACACCCTAAAATATCTAGGTCAAGCATATCCCGGCAAGAACATCAACCCAAGAACTATATAATCTACTTTAGGCCTATAAACACCCAAGAGAACCCCTGCAGAAAGAACATCGCAGACCCACGGGACAGGCACATTGGGCCCTGAACCCTGGCTGCCCTAACTCCTTAAACGCGAAACCAGCAACCCCGATCCCAGGCAGAGTCGTTGCGCTCCTGGCGGTTGCTGCTTCGCCGTGCGACGGGCTTCGAAGCCGAGTTCTTCTGAGCGATGTGTTACGTAGGGTTTAGGGTTTAGGGGTCTAGGGTTTAGGGTTTATGCTTTTGGGTTTCAGGTTCGGGGTTGAGGAATTACGCTTTAGGGGTTTAGAGCTGAGCCTTTCCTGCATATGCATAGCCAAAGTGGAAAGAGCCTTATTGTTTAGGAAAAAGAGCATTTTTGTTTAGGAGTTAACTTATTTGGCGGGTTAGGGTACTACAGCATACCTCGAAGCTTTATTCCAAACACAAGGCCCCTAGAATTGCCAGTGGAGGTCCTAGTGCCACTGGTTTCGTTCTGACCTGCCATAGCACGGATGGCGGTAGTCCAGAGCCGAAAAGCAAAGCACAATGGCCCGACTGCCTCGAAGCATTTTCCAGACCGGTGCCACAATTTCGGAAGTTGATGGGTTGAGGAGTACATGCCTACGACACATCACGAAGCCCTAAGCACACACACACACACCCTACCTAAATCAAACCTAAACATAGGCCGGGCTTGTGACGTTTGGGCTCCTTTTTCACGTTAAAGTTTCCTCATGGTTGTTCCCTGAGTCCAGCGGTCCGCAGCTTGAAATTGATTGGGCCCCCTCGGCTACTGGCTCCCCCGTGCAGGACTCCCTAAACCCTAAACCCTGAACTCCCTAAACCTTGCTTGCATAGTACCGGACAAGCCGAGCATGTTCAGTTTCACGCCGACCTGCTACTGTGGAACCTCTCCTGGCTTGTCCGAGTTGTGAGAGCGTAGACTCCCTAAACCCGCTGTCAGGAAGGTTTGGACTTGGCTTCCGCAGCCCTCGAGCCTCTGGCAACAGTGGGTTTCACTCCCCTGTAGCCCTGGGCAAACGAAGGTATGGGGCGACTTTGGCTGCTGCTCCTGGCGGCCGGATGCGGCAGCTCCGTTAGCTCAGAGGATACGACAACAATCCAAAGCAACCGAAGCATTGAGATCCCTTCATTGCGTGGGCGGCAGCTGAAGCAGCCTGTAAATATGCAGATCCTCTGCGGCCTGGATGTCACGGGGGCCGTTGGTGCCATAGGCCAGGTGGGTACCGCCGCCCAGTTTGTTCATCGGAACTGCGCGAAGACCGACACATCTGAGGAGAAGGCTGCCTGTTCTACTGCCGTTTCGGCATTGGTGGCGCGGACACTGTTTCTCGCCACGTTTCTTACATCTGCCGCCGCCACTTGTGCTGACACCTTCAACGTCCCTGTCTTTTGTGCCCATGCTTCGTTCGAGCTGACCGGGAGTTTGGGGCTCGTCTCAACAGCAGCATCTGCTTTCCAGCTGAGCTGCGGCACAAACCAATCCCTTGGTTCCGGGCCGATAGCACCGGCCGTCAGAAGGCTTGCCAACAGTTCTGGGCAAAAAGTGGCCCTGCTGCCTGCAGCGTCTCGTGACGTGCTGTCCTCCGAACTCGTGGCAAAGGTGAGAGCTCGGCTTCAGAAGCAGAGGGATCGAAAGGCGGAGCTGGCCGACTGCGTGTTCACTTCGTTGGTCCTTAGCCAGTTTGCGGTGAGAGGGGGGGTTCTGATCTCTGGTGCAGCCAAGAGCTGCGAAGCACCACAGGAAAGCAAGGCCACCTGTTTGACTGATGTTTCTGGTGTACTGGCATCTTTCTCCGTCACTGGGGCCCTGATAGCCCTGGTCACCTCAGAGTGTCCGGTCGCACGAAATTTCAAGGCCCTCTGTGCGACAGACGTCTTGACCATGGTGAGCGCCATCGGCTTCCTTTTCGAGTCCGTTGGGAAGATGCTCTTGAACTGTGGAGTGCCCGGAGCAAAGGTGGACGAGCTAGTGGCCCAGGACGACGCCCTGGCAGGATATGTGTTCAACACTTGAAGCTGTAGCCTGTTTCGCGAACTCGCTATGCGAGGGGAGGCCCTGGTCGGGCGAAGACCGGTTCCTTGTGTTTATCGCACAGATCGACCAAAGGTTCTCTGCTGCACCGGGCCGCTTGTGTGTTCCTGCAGACTTTGTGTTGCCAAAGAGGCACAAAGCTGCTCAACATCACGCTGGGGTAAGCTGGCTGCTCAACATGCGCACTTCAGGTTGTCTGCCTTTTATGCTTGCAGCTAGTCGGCAGCGCATGAGCTTGGATGCGGGAAAGCCTTCCCCCATCGTGCACTAGGCGCACCGGCAAGAAAAGCTGAACAGGAGGCCAGGTCCTGGTCGTCCTGGCTGGTTAAGTTACCTATTTTTCGGAGTCGAACTTAACCAAGTCTTCACCGACCGTCGCGGAAGAGATGTGCCAAAAGGGTGAGTGGTACTCCAGTGTTCTTTCGTCTGTGTGACTGCAAGTCGTGAAGCATTGCAAGGAAAAGCTTCACCTCACATCCCCTATGCATACAGGACATGTGGCTGATCATCTACGCCTTGTCGCTGCTGAAGCCAGGTCCTCAAAGAAGAGCTGCAGCATCCCCTTTATTTTACCAAAAAATGTCGCGAATGCGTTGTTGTATGGGACATGTTTAGGAGGAGATAGTGCTGCACGAGGCTTTCAAGCATGGTGAGACTGAGCCTGCACCCCGAACCCGAAACTCAAAGACTTCCTCAAGCAATGCAGGTGCCGAAAAAAACTCAAGGCGTAGGCTGCCCAAGGGGCCCCCCCTCGTTGGCACCGGTACCGGAACATGTTCTCCATGAGTCCCCTAATGAAATCATTACCTTTTAACCTGGTGGGGCTGGCCGGATTCCCTAGCCCTAGCTGCCCTAGCTCCGGTCCAGGCGTCGCAAGATACTTTCGCCGACAGCGCACTGTTGTGTGCCAGAGAGACTGGATGTTCATTTGGAGTCTTTTGCAAACAATTTCATACCCAAGGGTATGTATGTATATACTAGTTACTAGTAATATTTTTGCCACCAAGGATGGCCAAAACTGTGCTTGAGGCTCTTGCCCGCGCACCCCATCAACACCCCGCACAGCAACTACGTAATGTGAGTGAGGCCCGGGCGATGGGACTCTTCCCAATCCATCAATGGGGGGGATGGGGTGATGTTGAGAAGAGGGTTCAGCCAGTATCAGACGCCATAAATCTTTAGCTTACTTACAGATCGTATGCATCGCTATGACCCCTAGAAGCTTAAGTGCAAGCCCGTGTGACCAAGTTGACGAGCTCCGGTCGGTGGAGACTTGTCCGGGTAGGCTGCGGCGGATCAAGGATGGTAGGCTGGCGGAACGTTACCGTCGTCGAGCCTCGCCGCCTAGCCCGGGCCGACTGTCTGTGTTGCTATGCGCCTTCCTCTGGCTGTGGTGCTGCTGACCTTGGCCGGCGCTTCCAATGTCACGTCCGAGTGCTTCTTGGGTTAGATTTGTCGCATGAGATGTTTTCAGTACGTGCCCGTCTGAGCTTGGGCGTTTGACGACAACTTGAGGCCAGCATGGGCAACTTGGGCGGCGTTTGTGTGATGGTGGTGTAGGTTTCTGACGGCACGCAGCAAGGGTGAACTGAGTCATGGGCAATCATGCAGAGACCATTTCATGTTCATCGGCTGGCTCGTTTTGTGCCTGAGTCCAACCGAACCCCACCCAGAAGGTGCAGCTCTCTTGGAGCTCTTGTTGTGTTGAAACGACGCGATACTGAGGAGGATGGACGAGACGTCACAAAAATGCACGTGCGATGATGGCTGGAGAACTGCTGGAGTGACAGACACGGTGCATTTCTTGCAAGGTGCGGGAGGGCCTGTCAGAGTCTTTGCATCACGTGCACGACTTGAGCCGCGGGCAACACACAGACTTTCCAGCAGGAGTTTGCTCACAGTACAGCTGCCGAAGCGATGCTGAATGCGTGCCCCGGCAGGAAGGGTCTCTTAACCCTTAAACCCCGAAGCCCGAAACCCTAACAGGGGTCTCATCCGGCCCTGACTCTGCAAGGTGTAGCTTCGTAGGAAGCAGATCGCTGAGGCAGCTCTCCTCGGCATCGCATCTGCCAGCTGCATCGTCCCAGGCCCTGGCCTGCATGGTTCTCGCATGGATTGCTAACGCATGGTTGGGTTCATCAGATTATATGGGGTTTATGAAGTTAGTATGTTCCCGAGCGTTAAGCAGGATAAACCTCCCACTGTGCTAAGGGAGCTTACGCACGGACGTGCTTTAGGTTTGCTCAAGCACCGGGCCACGGCAATTTTCGCCACTTTGATTTCCAAAGCCCTTGGAGTTTCGTCTTTTGGAGACGCAACTTCTGCCAAGGGTCTGGTGGGCAGGAGCACGGGCAGCCAAACTGGTTGATGGGCTAAATAGGTTTAGACGTATCCCCATTGGAACGAAAGCCTTTTCCATTGCCCTCAGCAAGACCCGATGCCCTTCAGGACTCAGTACATGACCACCCTTGGATCAGGCTGGAACTGCTACTGCGGCTGGGGCTTTGCTTGGGCCAACGCGGGCGGAGGATTCGAGACTGGGCCAAAGGAGCTCGGCAGCGCCAAGTGCATGGGCGCCTCGGCGCAGAGCAGAGCAGCGTCTGTCCTTGCTAAGCCGAAGCAGTGAGGGGTGGTGTACACTTTCTCGATATGGACATCTCGGAAGCTGGAGCTACTGATACTTGGCGGCACGAAGCTGCACCGTGGATCCCATCAGAGCGATGTCCCTGATCCATATGAACGAACCCAACTAAGGTTCTCAAGCATGTGGCTGTGCTTTCTTCCCTTTGTGGTGCTGCTGGCCCCGTTCGGGCGGAAGCGTGCCATTTGCGACCATCACAGGTGCCAGAGATCCTGCGAAAGCTGATTAAGATAGGTCGGCCCTGCTCCCAGGCCCAGCTTGTGGAACGGCCTGCGCCGATGCATAGGTGCGCGACTTGATGGCATCTAGGAAATGTAGGTGCGTCGCTGCTGCAGGTAGCACGCATGATTCTTGAGGCCGCATATGTGTCGTGGAGACTGTGTGATTTCTTCACACTATGGTTGGGATGCTCTCTTCGATGATCTTGCACCTCTGCCGCACATCATGCTGCATTGCAGGAGCATGTTCATCCTCTTCCAGTTTTTGGAGGGCTGCAAGCCATAAGACACAAGAGCTTGGTGCCGAACCGTTGAACTTCCGAAGCTTGACAAGGGCCGTACCGTATGAATGCATGAAGGCTTGGAGTGTGTATGCCTTTGAGCTCATGGCTTGGACCTATGCCTTCTGTGTGCCTTGGTCTTTCTAAATTACAGCTTCGCTTTCCGCTTTGGTTGAGATTTTGCTTTCTCCTATGCGCTTCAGACAAAACGTCATGCTGGCCAAAGTCACACCTCGCAGCCTTTGGCAGAGCGAGAGGGAAAACACACATCTTGCTCGATGCGATTTCATGTGTCCGTGCTGCTTCGGTGCCCTTGATCAGTCAACAGGCCGTTGTTTACGTGATCGTGCTCTTCATGTGGTCAGTGATCCTGTGGTGTCTTGGGCGGCACAAAGTTCTGTTTACTTAGTTGTGCGATGATTTTCCTAGAACCAAACACCGCCTGAGAAATGGTGTCTCGCGGTCCGCACGGCCTGCCAATTCATTCTGTAAGCCGGCGGTGGGGTGACATCGGGGAAATGCAGAAGCGGATTTCAAGCGATTGTTCTGAACTTGTCTCAGTTCATTTCGGGAGCATGTCGCTGACTTGAGAGCATTCAGGCAGTGTTTCCAGATCCGAAGGACTGGTGATGTGGATTTTCACAGGGCCAGATGTTCTGGGTTTGCGGAGGCTGTCTGTTATGCTGATCCTTGCCGCCGGGATGCTCGTCACTGTCGGCGCCTGCTGTGCCGACATGTGCTCCAGCTGTGCTTCAGGCTGGGTAGCTGATACTACTACGGTGTTTTCTGTGGCACATCTCCTTGTCCTGCATGACGGAGGCTGTTCAGGCGAGTGTGCAGGGGGATGTGACAGCTGCTGCTGTGATTGCTGCTTGGTAACAAGCTACCATCACCAGCCGGTCGAGGCTCGGTCCTAGGACACATCAAAGCATCTTCCAGCTTTCAGGGTGACGAGATGTGGCAGGTTTAGGGCCCCAGCATGATCCAGCATGCAAGCCTAAATAATTAGCAGGATCCTTTGTGAGCGCCGAAATAACAGGATCCTTATTACAATGACCCCTGAAATCAGGTGCCCTAGTTTTCTGTTCTGAAGCTTCCACGTGCGATTGCTTGCAGCGTTTTTGATGGCCAGGCAGACGTGTTCTACTTCTCCGGTACCTTCCCGACAGATCACTATTGGGCAACCGGGGGAGCCTTAGCCTGCAGCTGCGATCATTGGTAAATATAAATATATAAATATACATATACATATATAAATAAATCAATAAATGAATATATATATATATACGAGTATATATGCACACACATCGTATCATATACACAATATGTTAGAGACATACATACATACATACATACATACATACATAGGTACATACACATATACATATACATATACATATACATATACGTACAGACTGTGCCACGTGGGAGCCAAAATACGTATATGTATACGTATACATATACGTATACATATACGTATAGACTGTGCCACGTGGGAATACGTATACGTATACGTATACATATACATATACATATACATATACATATACATATACATATACATATACATACATACACAAGCACGTACATACGCAAACACATATACACACACACATACATACACATACATACATATACACATACACACACACACATACACATACACATATACATATGCATNNNATGCATGCACACATACATACACACATACATACATACATACATACATACATACATACATACATACATATATATATATACACATACACACATACATACATTCTTGATATCATATCAGATCGCGTAGGCAGCAGCTGCAAGTCAGGATTCTCCAGGAACTCGGACGGCGGTGACTGCTGCTGCAACTGCAGAGCGATTTGCTTCCCCTTGGCTTGGCTTTTCTATGTCTTTCCGGTGGGGCGCTTGTTGCAGATGTGTGCACAATTCCCATTCCACCATGCCGGGTGTAGTTGAACACATGTGGAGGCTCTACCCGAAAATGCTTGGGGCGGCTTGGTGGGGCATCTCGCCAGGGATGCATCAGATCGGAGACCTGTGCGGGCATGTGCTGTTGACGAGCCGTCAAGATGCCTTAGCTGCAGCCGAGCTCTAAACTCACGGGGCTGACCTTGCAGCTCTGCGCATCAATCCCGTGGCCGATTGACTATGACTGATTTCTGACCAGGTATTTCATCATGGGCACGCACCAGCACACGCCCGTCGAACGCATGTATTCGGGTGGCAATCGCTTCATCGAGTTCATGCGCATGGGTTGGCGGCGGCATTCTGACCTGCATCATGACGAGGACTTCAGAAGCAATGCTTGCCACTAGGTGGTGCCGAGAGGCTACCGCCACAACAGCTCCAGTCCAGAGTAGTCCCCTGCTAAAGGAAGCCACCCCCCATGGAGATTACTGAAGAAGGTTCGCGATTTTCCCAGACCTCAAAATTTTCCTCCTTATGCCAGGACGCGCAACAACAAGCCTTGGTAGCTGATTTTGCAGTATCCCTGGGATCAGGAAGCAAAGAAGGCCCAAGCCAACGCCCCAACAGACGTTCAGGCTACTCAATGCAGATTTCGCCTGAAGCACCCATAGCCCTAGGCTACCTGGTTCAGTACAGCAGGGAGAGGGCACACTGGCTGAGGACTCGTTACAGGATGAAGGGATAAACAGGCTCACGGAATGCTACCGATCAGAAAACCTGTGGCTGGAAGTTTCGTAGAGGCCGGCATTTCCAACGAGCCCATCTGTCTTCTGCAGCTTCCTTGACCTCAGAAGCTACTTGTGCCTTCCAGGACTGGCGGGCGCGGGTGTATGATTTCCTGGCAGGGCCAGGGGAGCAAACTCCGGCTGCCCCGGCCACGCTGGAGGCTTCTCCACAAACGGCTGCTTGCTATTTTGGATTTCGCAACGGTCGCTTCCGATGTGCGTTTGAAGGTGCCGAACCGTCCTCAAGACGAGCAAGCACGCCTTCTCAATGAGTTTCTGGAAGATGGAAAGCAGGCTGGGCAAAGACAGAGGCGTGCCTTTTGTCTCAGGTTGTCACGTAGTGTAGGTGTGCAGTCGGGGGAATGCAGCTCTTCAGGTGCTGCGAATTGGATTGGCTCGAGCCGTGATCCTGGGAAGACACTTCGACAAGTTCCACGATCGTTGTGTGCAGTCTTCGTATGAAGACTACGCTGAGCGCCTGGAACGGAATTCTATGCGAGCAGTGCAGGGGCAGCGGTCTGATTTCGGCGCACGGGTGGATGGCTGCATATGTTCAGGAATTCGTGCTGGATTTGCCGCGAACAACGTGAAGAATGGGACTTGTGGCTATCCTGTCACCACATTTTCTGCTCAAGCTGTTCAAGCCAGATGCTGATCCGGCGAATGCCTTGTCCGCTCTGCCGGGTAGCCTCCTCAACGGTTCTGCGAGGTGCCTGGCCAAGTGCGGGTTTCGGATAAATGTCGGAAGATGCTTTTGGTTGTCCTTCAAGCTCCAGACTCTTGACAAAGGTCTAGCACTGCCGAGAAGAAGTGTAACTGTGCCAGCAGTCCCCCCCGAGCCGGAGGCATCTGATTGGGTTGTACCAGTGTTTCAGAACCGTCTGTATTGCTGAGTTATTTACCGTCAGCATGTCGCCGCAGGTGACAATCCGACCGAGTGGGTCGAACGGCCTGCGCCTGCCCATTCCAGCAGTCGCAACGCGCGCTTTTTCTAAAGGCGAGCATGCGCTCGAAGGATGTTGGAAGATAGGTGCGATGTGTGGAAGTTGGAGTCGGAAGTGGTGCTGTGTGGGAAGGTGCCTCTAGCGCCCAGCTGGTGCAACGAAGAGATGACATTGCCGCAGCCGCAGATGCTGTGACTTGGTGAAGGGTTTCGGCATCGTAGGCAGCTAACAAGTTTTCGTTTGTCGTTCCATCATGTTTTGTGTACACATTCTGGCAAAGTGCGCCCTCCATGAAGACAATTATGTGATGGACATGCGACTCTAGGCCCCGCCTCTGCCTGGACCCGGCGGCCAAGATTCGCAGGTTTGACTCTGGGATGTGTGGTCATCTTGATAGTTTATCTCACTTAGTTCTTTGCCTGGATGCTTCAGTGCCGCATTCAGAGCCTGCAGCAGCAGCAGCAGCAGCAGCAGCAAAGTTGGCATCGTAATTACGGGTGCTCTCCCCTCGTTTCTTTCTCCCGTACCTGCATTACCCAGCATCGTGCGATAGGCGTGGTTTCGCTCTGTGTCTCACGCTCGTGCCTATACTCAGCCAGGCGGCCAGAATGCTGGAAATGCCGCCATGGACCCAGCGTCCAAGATTCAACAAGTCGCGTGCTTTATAAGCAGCGTTGGCTGTCCGCTGGTCAAGCCTTGTCATGCACGAGGCTTCTGCCGCCAAGTGCTGAAGGAGCAGAGAGGCCAAAGGTGGCCTTAGCATTTAGCGATAGTTCGCGTGCATGCGACAAGAAACTTTCAGAGAGGGCAACATCGGCAGGCGCCTCCTCTTCGCAGTGCTACGGCAGTGGACAGGCCAAAGGCAGGCTTTGGTGATTTCTCTGTGGTTGTATGTGGTTCCACCTGCGGGGAGGCACCTGCCCTGCCATTTCTCGCCCCGATCACAGCTCCACCGTCCGTGCCTTACCAAATCTTATCGAGAAGAATGTCTTTGAGTGGCGGACGTAGATAATCAGGGCCACCTGCTAGATTCTAGATTCAGGCCGCCATTGCGCAACGTTCCAGCGGTGACCACGGCTCGCCGTTGCGAGTTTCTGAACGAGCAGCGAGTTACACAGCGCTAGGTCGCTTCTGTGCCAGGAACCAGTGGAAAATAGCCAGCTACCAAAGCAAGTGGCACTTCTTCCAACCACGATCATGTTGACGACTCAGCATGGTCACGATTGGGCACGGCATGCGGAGCTATTTAAGTTGGATGGTTTTTGTGCAGGTCTGCGCCACCTCTGGATGCACGTCTGGTCTCTCTTCCGTTTGAAGGAGATGCAGGAGGCAGCGGCCTCTCAACCAAAGAGCGCTCTTGCTATGGACCTCCTCTGGATTCAAGAAGTTGACATGTAGCATGTAGCATGCCTCCCCGAAGATTCGAATCTCTGATGCCAGATGCAGCACCTGGAATCCTAGAACGCGATCAAGCGGCAGCGCAACCGAGCTTGCAGGTCGCTCTCTGGAAGAATCCGGATTCCCAATATGAAAAATAAAGAGAATATATATATATATACACATACACACACACACATATATATATATGTGTATATATATATACACTTAAGATGACCCCTGTCTCGTCTGACAGGAGGCTGGCGATCTGCAGGCTGTGCCAGAAAGCGCTCCATCGCTGCGGTACCGCGCGATGCCAGGGCAGCGCCGCATCGTGGGCTTCTCCACGAGTACAGCAGGAGCTGTGTACTTTGCGTGCCGCCACGTGCAGGCTGGGACATGCTTCGCGACGGCTTAAGACATCTCTTCTTCCTGCAATGTGCTCATTGTGGCGCTCAGGAAAGTTCAGGAACGCATTTCGAGGGTTCCGGGTTCGTCGACGAACAGCATGACTCGTTTAAAGAGCTGAGTTTGAGAAAGCACGGGTCTGCGATTGAAGGCACCGCGGCTAGAGACAAAGCTCCGAGATGAACCTTGCCTTTGAATCATTCACAGCCTCGTTGTTGACCTACATTTTTTTAAAGATAGATTCCTATGCGCTACGTTTTGAACACACCTTGTGAGACTGTCTCCTGTCCCACCCTGGCTTTCCAAGGATTTCAGCTCTTCGGCAGACTCCGAGGCTGTGCCTCCAGACTGCCATCTAATACGCTCTGAGTGTTTCTTCGGGGCTCAGAGGGTTTAAGGGGGTTTGGGGTGAGTCGCATGTGCGCTGCCAGTGCAGCCGCTGCCCCTCCTCAAACAGGGTGAGTCGCCGGAAAAGCATCAGAGCACACCCGTGAATTCGTGAATTGGCAAGCTGCACACCCGGCCGAGGAAGGCGTGCTTGCCGGAGTGGAAGTCTGGAGATCTGCAGACTCTGTGGAAGTCTGCTCCTGACTGCAAGGCCATGCCTCAGGGAGGGAACTGACGATGAGCCTGTCAGTGCTGTGCTGAAGTCCAGGTGTGAAGACGAGATCAAACGGAGTAGGAAGCAGAGCATCAAGCAGGATGGAGCCACATCGGTGCAGCGCCTGGAGTATGCCTCGAGAGCAGGGCAGCCAAAGGTGCTCTCTGGTTTCAGACGTATCCATGGCTTTGACACGAGTACCAGCCTGAGCTGAAGATTAGGCATGGATGCGCATAGTCTCATGCCCAACGTGTAACGCGCATTTTTGCTGCTTTGAGGCACTGCTGGCTTGCTGATTCTTCGCTCTGCACGCACAGCTCATGATGCAGTCAGAGCCGTGGCTGCGGCCTCGTGCTGACCTTAGCAAGTCCCAGATAGTCCCAGCCTTCCGACGAGCCTCACGAACATGGACGTCTGCAAATCGGACAGGCAGCGAAGTCCTGGACCGCCCGCGGGCCGATTGGTTCCAAAGCCTCTTCCGGGCAGCCACCGTCTCCCAGGTTGGCGCACAAGTACGGGTGGCTTGCTTTTGTCTCACATAAAAGATCGCGCGGCAGCCGAGCCGGTGCACACCTAGATCTTGGTTAGGAGGAGGCACCAACCACCAGTGTGCCAATTCGTGGACCACGTGCAGCTGCCGTGGGCTGTGCGAGACTCCACAAGGCTTTCATTGACGATGAAAAGTATTCGTGAAGAGAGGCGCTCGCAGCAAGCTCCTGCCGGTCAATAACATGAGCTTCAATTCTTCTTCAGACATCTGCAGTTGTAAGCTAGCCCCGTCTGTCCTGAGAGTAAGTTTCGAAAAATCAGAAAGCGAGGCATCGTGACAAGATCTTGGTTTCCGCTATTGCCGAGGAAATGTCCGATACTCAGGAGCTTCAAAATCCCTAAGTTGACGGATATGTGAGACTAGGACCCAGGTTTTGCAAGCCTTCTGTTTCATGGTCTAGAGTCTTGGATTCAGGGTTCTCTGCCACTAATATTGGGTGCGTGATAACGCAGACCCGTCCATGTTCCTGTGCCCTTGACCCGCTCGATCATTGAGAAAACTACCATGACTAGTATTGCTTATATTACTGCTATTTCCTACTATTATTGCTACGATGACAATTACTATTTCTATGATTCTTCTTCACATGGCTGTCATCCCAGCCTTTCATTGACAGAGGCGGCCAAGGCTCGCCGAGTTTCGCCCGCAGGCCGCCCTTTTTGGTTTACGTGGAGGGCTTGCGTTCGGCTGTTCAGGCCGGTCTAGGGCTGGCGGCTCGGTTTCCGGTTAGGGTTCAGGAGTGTTTGGTTATTCTTCAGGACTGCAACGAGGCTCGATCGCAAAAGGAAGGTATTCCTGCAAAAAAACCCTTAGGATTGCAAGATAGCTGTATGCAGCGTGGGACACGGAATTCCCCTGTCGTAATCATCCTGTGCTGTGGTTGTAATCAGGGAGTGCGGCAGTGTGTAACGCTCTGCACATATGCAGCTCCAGGCGATTCGCTGATCATGGGTGTCTCTCAACATGACGGAAACCGAAATTTGCGGCATTTGTTCTGTCATCTTGAACATCGGTGACACTTCGGGTTCTCATTCACACCTAGGCCTGCAGGGCTTTGTCGGGGGGATAATTTTTCAGCTGGGCCCACAACCGTACTGGCCCGCCTGCTTCTTGAGGTGGGCGACGGGTTCCCTCATGGAGCGGGAGGGTGGCACGCCATGTTCAAAACGGCCCATCTTCTGTTGAAACTTCTCTCCTCGCCACCCCGATCAGTTGCAGGCCCTACGGTGCTGCCGTCGGGTTCTGAACCACGAATCCTTAAGGCCTAAAGCTTTAGTGCTTCGCCGATGCTGCTGATGTGTGTCTAAACAGCCTGCCTCCTTGTAGGCTCTGCGACTCTTTGCGGGGACGGGAAAAAGGCACTCAAAAAAAAACTAGAGCTTTGGCGTTGGATTTGAAGACCTTTCAGAGCTCGGCTTGGGCCTTCATGAACTGAGCGAAGTCCAAAAAGCCTTGCAAGAAATCCAAGGAATCTAAACGGGAGTCATAAGCCATAATTCCTAAAATCCCTAAACCCGAACCCCTCATCCATAGGATTTGGGGGCTTAGACCCCGTCCTTAAATCCCTACACCCTAAATCCCAACAACGCACAGGGCCTGGCGACGACGGTGTATGCTCTCGGCATCCTAAAGGTGGCGCCCAGCGCAATGCTCCGCGCAGTAGGCGCCCCGGCAAAGATTTGTTATGAATTGCTTGCCCTCGGGTGTAGGGTTTGTCTAGGGCTCTATGGTTTAGGGTCTAGGTTTTCGTTTTTCCCGAGGGTTCAGGGTTTCCGTTGGATGGGTTTAGAATCTGAGCTTTATGGCGGTTTTTCCGTTTGGGATTTGCTGCTATAACCCTACTGTACGACCGAACAGACGCTCCACTCTCCCAACAGTCGAAACCAACTTGATAAAGGCTAAGTTGACCTAGCTGACAGGCACTACATCTTGGGTTGTGGTCGGATCCGATTCTCGCCAGGTCGGTATGTGCCAGCCCGGCTCCATGAGTTCTGCGAGCAAGAGGTGGGACAAGCCGCAGCTTGGAGCGTAGGGTCTTCTGGGTTCAGGGCTGGAAGGCCTTCGGTTTTCGGTGTAGGGTTTTTTAGGGATTTGGGATTGTAGGGTCCGGGTCTAAGGTCGAAAGACTTCGAGATCGTCCGTCCACTCGCAAGTCATGAAGGGTCCGGCATTATTGCTTCTTCAACGATGGTGGTAGGGATGAAGATGAAACGACGACCCGGAAGCAATGCTTAACCTCATCCTCCAGCAGTTCTCGCCTAGGCCTAGACCAAGAGGCCTCTTGACTGCTGCTGCTTGTGTTTTTCGGAGAGCCCGAGGGAGCTTTGGATGTAAGGCTTCACTCGTAGATGTGGGTTTTGGGCTTCTGGTCGCGTGTACAGAGCTTTCGGAGCGAGGCTCGCTGCTCGTCTTTATCTGCAACCCCCCCCCATCCCCGAGCCGCGAGAGGTGACGAACACCATCTACGGCATGGCCTTGTTGCGGTGGCGTCAGCCCAGCATGGGTCTTACTGAGCCCTGGGGCTGCAGAGCCGGAACATAGGCTTTCAAGCTGGGATGCCCCGACCCTGAAGCCAAACCCACAATCCGGCGCCCAACTCCTAAACCCTTAGCCCGAACGCATTTATCATTCATCTATAATATAAATGAAGTGGCTTTCGCTGCCAAGCCCCGCTTACAGCCATACAAAAACCGTTTAAATTAAAGCCAACGTAAAGCCAGACAGGGCGTTTCAACACACGTAGAAAGCCCTCTAAAAACCAGTGCCGACCACGTGTGATCCTGCAGCGCCTACATGAAACCCTGCTCTCCCTTGATAAAACCGCTACATAACCAGCCCATATAACACCCGACGCAACCCATATACCGACGGCTGAGGCTTTCTGGCTGCTTGCTGCCAGCATGCACAGCTCTGAGACACCTTTACTGTAATATATGGGCCTCAGTGATTAGAACTCGCAGGACCTTGGAGTGCGGCTTGAAAGCTTTAAGTGATGTGCCACATACAGGCGACTGTGTAGAGCTGTTGTAACCCCTGGGCATGCTTTTCGCAGTTTCGATTCCATAGCGTGGGAGTTGGCTGTGGCAATGCTCCGTAGCAATGACTGTTGGTACCTGGTGTGGCTAGATTCGACCAAATTGGAAATACGAATCCATGATACTTAGGGTTGCTGACGATTTTTCACACTCTTGAAAACGCATGACTCTACACACACACACACCCACACACACACACACACACACACCCACACACACACACACCCCCACACCCACCCACACCCCCACACCCCCACA